CAAACAACTTTCACAGAGGTTGCCCGATTCATAAGGGAAGCAAAATTACAGTGATGAAGTAGCAATGAAAATAATTTTATGGTTCGGGGGTCACCACAACATGAAGAACTGTATTAAAGGGTCGGGGCGTGAGGAAAGTTGAGAATCACTGTTCTAACTCATCTCGCCAATGTACTCCAATGTTTAGTAGCCACCTTCCTCCCATCCCTCGATTATGGATAGCGAGAGATCACTGGAGGCTTATTACCTATGTAATTCTCACAAAGGTATCATGGGGCTCCCACTATCATCTTTTTTTTTCTTTTTGGCCTCTGCAACCCAGATTCTCACAATTTAGGCTCTGATAATATTCTCTCCTTCAACTTCAGATTATATGATTTTTAATCCTTCAGTGACTGATGATGGTGTGCTTCTTCCATGTGGACTTAGTTGATTTCTCACTTAGATGGCTGCTTGACAAGCCTTTAAGACCCCAGATACTGTTTTATCTGACAGCTGGGTACCACCTAATTTCTTCATATTTTGCTACAGCACTCATATCTTCTGAGTTTCCTTCCTGAGTTTGAGTATAGGATTTAGTGCAAGCCCAAAACCCATTCCTGAATCTATGATTATGTTGCAGTTGGTGGTGTTTTTGTTGATTTTTTAATCTGCCTTTGGCTCCCTTTCAAACCCTGCTTGTTAATTTATGTTAGAAAGTCTTAACAATCATCCACCTAGGGCATAACGATCTTCCTTTACTGTTTTCTTTGAACAACCCCTGGTACTAATTTCATCATAAATCTTTTGAGATGACCTGTCTGCCTTGGATTTAACTGGCCCCACTGAATCCCGAAGCCAATGTTTTAAGTGGACCTTCTGATATGAGGCACTTTACTGAGACTAAGACAAGTATATTCCTGGGAAAATGTCTCTGTTGCCATCTACCCATTACAGAAACAGGTTTAACTAAACACATTTTGCATGGAATAAGCCCATGTGGTATGAAATTAATCCCTAGCCACAATACTTTTTGATATACTGTTTACTTTAAAAGCATTAGTACAATCTTAAAAACATTACATGTTGACTAACTTATGCTATAACTACATTGGTAGCTTGGAAATATGAGAAATGTGTTGGCTACTAATACCGAAATATTAAAATCTTCATCTCCAATAGAATGAATTCAAGAGACAACATCTACAATGCTTAATACAGAATACACAATATAAAGGTAAAGCCTAACAGCCCCAGCTACAATACTTTAAAATAGATTCTCCCATCAAGCTGAAATGCAGAGAAGAAAGGGGAGGGGCCTATTATTTTTCCCAAAAATTCTTCAGCAACAGACTCCTTAACTTATATACATGAAAAACAGAGGCATGTATAAGCAAAAACCCCAGACATTAAGTGATTCCAGCTCATGACACGCCTATGTCGGCATAGAATTGGGCTTTGTGGGGTTTTCAATGACTACATTCTATCGAAGGTCACTAGGCCTTTCTTCCAAAGCACTGTAAGTAAAGTGGATTCAAACTGCCAACTTTCCCATTAGTAGTTGAGTACAAATCATTTGAGTCACCCAGGCAACTGATTGATATATAAATCTTATAAAAATGAAACACATCCTGTTTTCTCATTCCTAGTAGGCTTTAGTATCCCTAAACTACCGTTATGACTCCAGTTTAACTCAACACTATTTGGGTACCATTTCTATTAGGAGGCCTTCTCTGATGTTTCACCTCACCATCCAGTAAGTAGCACATAACGTGCCCTCATAAAAATGATCTCCAACTGCTGAAAGAGCACTTGATACAACTATTTTAGCTACCCATTATCCCTACTCAGCTATCTTCAAAAAAGGATACTTTACTATTCTTTTATTTTTCTATTAATTTCTGTATACCAGGGCCGAGAAAGGAGTATTGTGCAATACAAGTGTTAAAAAATGCTATCCAATGCATGAATGTCTGTACTGTGCATTGCATGTGTTAGTGTTAATAATATGAGTGAATGTCTACTCCCACTGAGGCCAACTACTGCAGGCTACAACATTTACCCCAAGCTACTTATCACCCTCCCCAGTCAGAGACTAGTAGAGTCTGGGACCCTGAATTTTAAGAAAACAAACAAATTCTAATGTTTGCCTATTACTTGTTATTAGCTTAAAAATGACATTGCGGTTCCAGAAAGAAAACTCACCAATAAACTATAGTGTGGTCCTCTCAAATGACAGGAAACAAAACTTTAGGCTACTGAGATAGTTTGTTGTGCCAGCCTGGCCGATAGACACAAGTGGGATTAACTGAAGGGCGGAAAGATAAATGGCTCTGAGCCTGGCCTTTCTTGTTTCTCGCTCTTTGATCATCGGACCAGTGTGCGGCTGCCTTGCTTGTTCTGTGCCTCAATTTGCAGGATACACTACCTGTGGGATGCCTAGCCTGTGAACTGTGTCGCTGTAAGTTGAAGTCCCTTTAAGACATCTCTGGAGCTGGGGACTGGCGGATGGTGACCTGCCTTGTGATTGGCTGCTATGCTGAGATAGCCTAGCTCTCTCTATATACAGAGGAAGACCTGGCAGCAGACTAGACTTGAAGGAGTACTAGTGTCTCACAACTCTCTCTCATGGGAGTGACTTGTACTGAGCAATTTATAATGCTTTATAATTTAACTGTTCATTTCTTATATTATATTTCTATCTGTATATAATTTAACAGTTCATTTCTTGTGTTATATATCTAATTATCTTTATAAATAAATATATTACAGTATCAGCAATTTGGCTTTATCTCTCTAGAGAACCCTGTCTAAGACAGCTACCATCTCCTTAATGTTAAACAATAAATACCTTCTTCAAAGAGGATGAGTACTTGATTGGAACCTTACAACCCTGTCCAAAACAAATACCCAGAGTACTGAAGATTAATGAAAAAGGTCTACACACTCCAAGCCTTCCAGTCGGGTTACTGTAGCTTCCTAACATTTCCTGAGTTTACACTGGCTGAAGAGACATAGAATGAGAGATAGGAGCTGGGGGAGGCTCACTTCTCCCTCAAAAAAACTCCCAAGTTGAGCCTTAAGACACATTATGACTACATAGCTAGCTATATCCTTAATAAATAAATATATATATAGATGATAGATTAGATGGATAGATAGATAGATAGATTGATTGATTGATTTAGGGATTAGTTCTTGCTCTATTATGTACAGATGCAAACTAAGCCTGACACTCACTTTTTATATGCGCAATTCCTTACTTTAAAAAAGGGGGTATAACCTTTACCTTACAGAATCCAAGAATTGACGGATAGAAAAAGATGGTGGGTTAAGATACTTAGGAAAAGGAAAATGCTTTAAAAATATTTTGCATCATTGCTGATCAAAACTTTCTTGGCTACAAATTTGTAATCAACTATGTAAGTCATAAACCGTTATTAAGAATGAGTTCATACTTCAAGAAAGAGTCCAGGTTCTAGAGAATGGTTTATATGAAAGCAAATGGCTAGTGAATGTGAGAGTTAGGTTTGGGGTCAACTTGGCTAGGCCAGAATTCTCAGGAGTTCCGCAGTTGAAACCTAGTAACTCCTCATGAAGTGACCGCACAGAACATAATCAACTCCATAATGAGCTCTGGTGAGAGTAGCCAAGCAGTCGTGAGAAGAAAAGGGTGGCATGCAACTTTGGACACAGCTCTGATGCAACTGAAAGGAAGTTTCCTCAGTGCCGTAGTCTGATTCCTATGTAAGTGAATGCTGTGAACTTGAGCCATCCGCCTAACACATTGCCTGCTGATCCCCGGAGCCATCAGTAGCTTGCCATCTGACCTGCTAACCTTGCAGTCTCCAGTCTGTGATGTTCCTGACCATCTTGGCTTCAACAGCCCAAGAAGCTGCTTGAGGGAATAAAAGCCTCCAGCAATTCAATAACTGACCCACAGACTTTGAATTGACTTAGACTTGTCTGCTTCCGGCAATTGTGTGAGCTATTTTCTTTCTTAATATAAGTTTCTCTCTCTCTCTCTCTCTACACACACGTTTCGCTTCTATAGAGCAAGACAACTTTTTCCTTTCACCCAATAAATTTGCAACCCAGGCAAGCACTGCCAGAAACACCCCAGATTCATTAATCATTTGATTTTGAATTCATTTTTGGCCAATGAGCCTTCAGAAATCTTCTCTTGTGGCCAAAATTTTCACAATCTCCACTTTAGTTCTGTTACTCCATACGAAGTCTGCATCCAGTTCCGAAGCTTTGCTCTACAGAACCCAGCCTGACACAGAAATGTTTCAATAAGAAATTCTTAATTTCCGGGGGTTTAAATGGAGAGAAAATGTTTTGAGAAACGATGTACAAATGCGCTTTACACAATTGATGTGTGTATGGATTGGGATAACAGTTGTATAAGCCCCTAATAAAATGTTTAAAAAATAAAAAAAAGAAATTCTTAATTTCAAAGTAGAGTCTCATCCACCCCCACTGAAAAACCACTCAAACTTGGGGAGAGGTCAGTAAAAATGATATGACTTTACCGGTAGCCAGATGTTTGAACTCTAACTCCGAAGCTCTTTCTACTCCGTCCTATCACCACGAGACTACACTGCACTTGGATAGTTCAGCTAAGATAGTCCCTTTCTCCCTTGGGACTCTCAGGTTCCGGTTAACCTTCTACACATCCCCACCACTTCAAAGCAAAATATCTGAACTCACCTTCATCTTTCTCTCAAGAACTCACTTTTTTGCTGCCTTCCCAATTTAGGAAAGTAAGTAAAACAGTGAGTTTATGCAAAAAAAACCAAAACCTTCAAATATCAGGGAAACAACATATAAGGTCCAAGGGACTACACAAATCACTAAAGTCTATCCTTAGTAGAGACATCAAATGTAAGAAATTATTTTAAGAAGTATAAAATACTTCTCAAATGTTCCAAAAAATGTTCATTATCATTAGCATCTACTACCAAAACTAAATTAGAGCACACCCATTAAACTGAAGAAATCGTGGCGAAGTGACTTACCTGAACAAGATGAATTAGTGTGGTCAAAATAGCACATCTTAACATATTGTGTTCCTCACTCTGCTTCCAAAGAAGAGGCAAATACTGTACCAGACAACCTACATATGGTCGTATCTGTGACACAAAAAATAGGTGAAGCAACAGAATGTTATTACTAAAGAAGGCAGTCTATTTTGAAAAACCCTGACAGAGCACTATATAGTTCCTGGCAGCAAATATTTAATATTTACTAGATGCAATGCATTCAGCATTTAATCCTTTTAAAGAAAAATCATATATTAAGCATAGACACAAGTCACTTGGGTAAATGTTTTTAAACAAGTGCCACATTCACTTAATGAAAGTTTACTAATTATGAAACAATATGCTGAACCGAATTATTTCAGTGGAGACTATTAATTAAAAACAGGTTTCTATCCTTATTTTTTTTAATTAAGGATTACTTAACTAGAAATTACACTACTTTTTAAAAATACTATGCTTTAAAAAGAGTCAGCAACAATTATGTGATGGGTATCACCTAAGCATCAAGTCCTGTGGCCAAGGCAGTGGGAGAGAGAAAGATGCAGGAAGAGCACACACCCAGACAACACAGAGCCGAGGCACAGTGAGTAGGTACACTGGCACTGCAATGGAAGGACACAACTTTCAAATGACACAACTGTTAAACTCACGATGGACTGAACTAGCCAATTTTAAAACATACCCATATATCCTGAAGTTCAATTCAGTGAATTTCTTGAAAAATAAAAGAGATCTGAACTTAAGAGTCACAATGTTTGAAACTGTTGACAAGAAAAACTCTCAGTGATCAAACAGAAGTACTAGATATTCACAGCCTCACCACAATCTACTTCAATCTCATAGGTTACTTTTTTTTTTTAAAGATTCCAGAAAGGGATTAGTTTTCTCATTCTCCTAAGTATCACACCTAAATAGGTAGCAAGTAAACTGCAAGCTTTGTTTTTCTTCCTAAAAGTTCATGATCATAAAAAGACAAGTTAAATATTTGCTCAAATATTTAGTGAGATAAAATTAAGTACTGAAATATTTTTGTTGTAATATCTTGTTTTGAAAACAGGAATCATGAGATAGTAGTTAAGACTTAGTGAGCACTTATTAAATTTGGTTAAGTACTCTATCTCAGAGATGACTCCAATTAGCTTATGAAAATAGACCACTTAATATATGAAAATATAAGTTTCAAATTAAGTACTCATTAATACTTATAAATAGCATATAATAATATGCTCTACTGGCAGAAAATGTACTGGCTTTAAACACAGTAAGATATGCAAATTACAAGTATATGTTATGAGTTATAAATGAGGTACTAAAAATCAAGGTACCAATTACTCTTTGAATATTAGATATACAGAGAGAGATGCCAATTCTGTCTATTGGAATGTGAATTAAAATTAATGCATTTACAGCATTATTTCAAATTTTACCAATAGACTCTATATCAAAAAAAGGTATTTTTTAAGGTTCAGAATTTAAAAAGAGGTTGGTGACACAAGAGTCAGACATTCCAATATACTGACAAGCTAAAGCATGCCTAGATGGGGCAACTGAGGAAACTCTGAATTCAGACCTGACATTAAAGAAGGACTTGTATCAATGTTCAGCCCCAGTGGTTCAGTGGGCTAGGGATTACACGACAAAATACAAGCTCAGTTCAAACCCACCAACCACTTTGAAGGAGTACGTTGTGACTATCTGTTCCGAAAAAGAACTAGTCTTCGATATCGTGCACAGGGTCCCCATGACTTGATGGTAGTGCATTTGGTTTCTGACTCACCGTGTCATGGTTATAAAAGGAGTGCATGTCTCCTAAGGAGTGGACTAATACTTTGGGGTACAGTGTCGTGATGTCTGCAACTAACTGCCAAGTGGTTTAAATCATAACAAGAACTGAGTCCATACATGTACACAAATATAGGGTAAGATATTATCCATATATAATTCTGAGATTATAACTCCTGGGTTTGGAGTATCAATTATTTGCATAGTGTAAAAACACTTTGCAGTAAGAATGCTTACAGACATCTAGTATCACTAATGTAGGTCATCAACTACTTTACCTAACTGTGGAGAAACACAATATTCAAATACTTTCACACTTGGTAAAAAAAAAGTGACATCACTAAAATTCTAAAATTAAACTGTGTGCCACTAATGTAGGAAGACTCAAAAGGTTTGCAGATAAAAATCAAATGTAGCGTATGAAAGATTATTGTAGGATATAGAAATGATGGGTTCGCTCAAAAGCTAACAGGAAAAGTTAAGGAGTCACACTACTAAAATGTTTTCTTAACCATTTCCTCAGAGATCTGAATTCCAAAGGTACTATTGGATAATACATCTTATTGTCATTTCCTAATTATACCATCGCCTGAGCAACTTGGGCTATGTGTTTTGAAAAAAGTGTGTGGACAGCGACACCGAAGCCTATTAAATATACTGAGGGAGAAGAACTTCAAACTTTTGAGGTAAACAATTTACTTTGAGGTTTGGAGAGATGCAAGGAGAAAATCCATTTCTTTCTTTTCTTAATCCATTTCCATACAGTGGAGGAAAAATACCACTTATCACTCGGTAAATCTAAAGATTCTAAACATCACCAAATTTTGTCTTCAGAGTCTATTTTTTTAAACAAATAATTTGTTACAATGGCACAGTGTTCTGAAGCATACTGGTTATGATAATTTCAAATCATCCAAAAAACTTGTGAAATAGGTCGTCTCATTTTAGGTATGAATAAAAAATGTTAAAGATCTTGTCCAAGGTATATAGCAATGTTAGGGACTTGAAAAGAGATCTTCTGGAATGCAAAGCAAGAATTATGAGCCTGATAAATAGAAGTTTTTGAATAAAGATAATAAAATTAGTTAAGATGTAGAACTATCAAAATTATGTGATACTTGAAGTGCCAAAATTCACAAGTACCAGATACAAGAGTTGATTTTGAGATAATGAACTCCAAAATCAATTGTCTTTATCCAATACCTCACAGATTTACCTTAGTGCTTTTCAAACCATGACAGGTAGTGGTGAATTAGGGTATGCAAAGTCACAGGCTAACGGTAGTGTAGTTTCCTAGATTATCAACTTTTACAAGCACTGTATGTGGTTGGGAAAACTGAGTAATTTAACTGTTAAGGACTTTAAACATCCTATTACTAACCTAAACATAGCTGTAATAAGAACTGGACTACAAGACTAACTTAACTTTTAAGGTAAAAATAGTACACTTACAAAAATTTTATATTTCCTGGCATATACTTGGGGCTATGTTGTTAAACACATTTGAGAAATATTATTGAGTGTAAATAGGATCAGCTTGGCAGGAAAACGTATGCTTCATAACCATCTCTACCTTGCCAATGCAAGTTTGTAACTCCTAACTTTCTCATGGATATTTTTTAATACACAAGTATAAATGTCACTTTAGAATCATAAGTAACTAAAATCACAACCTACTATTTGAAAGTACTGTGATGAGTGTTTTAACTTTTAAATACTGTTGATAAAGGAAAGATGTCGGTGAATTCTATTTATACTCTACTCACCTTTTCTGACATTTAAGTTCATGTTTTACAACAAACTTACCTGCATGTTGACTCTTTCAATGACACAAGAAAGGACATGCAAAACATGCATCTTTGTGTCACACTCTGTAACTTGCTGCAGTAACTGAAAAAGTAGTGTGAACATGGTTTCCAAATACTGCAAATAGAAAATAAAAAGTTTGAAACAGAAATGTAAAGCTCTACATACACACAGTCAGAAATAAAGAAATAAAATTAGATCATAACCCCAGAAAAAAAAAAACCACAGAGAAAGCCAAAAATTTTCAAATTTTCAAGCTTCCAATATGTAATATTTAAGACCGTGATCTCTTTATTGCTGTAAACTGCATCTGATTTAGAATTTAATTTGCCCACCAATTAAATAATGTTCTCAGAAGAAAAAACTGAATCTAAGCTGTGTGTTTCAACTTCACACTGCTAACTAAACCGTTAACAGTGCCGTGCCACTGCTCTTCAATGCAGGCCTACTGCCAATCACAAAATGCTTTGTTTTGCAAGGCATACTCATTAAAGCAAAAAGAGTACCAATTACTGCATTCACATACCAGCTGTCTATGTGACATATTACATATGCTGCATGAAGACACAAATTTATACAGATTACATACTTGTTGTTTTGAGAATGGCAGCTTATCTGTTATTAGGAAATAGAAAATAAATATCCTATGCCTGGATTTGAAGTCCAACATTACGAAAATTACATTAGGAATTAACAAAGAACAAGCTGCCAGAAACTTTCATAACACAAACATTTTTTTCCAGATAGTTGCTTCATTTTAACACAGATTTCTAAAACACACTGCTACCATCCAAAAATAACAGATCCTCCTATTAAATAAAAATCATTGCTCTGTAAATTCCTTCAACTATGAAATATATTCTTATTATATAACTTTCTTCTCAACTAATTCTCTTAAAAAGAAGTGAGGAGAGACGTCGGATGGTGTAATATATTATGACAAAATAATAATAATTTATAAATTATCAAGGAGTCATCGGGGGGGAGGGACTGGGAGGGAGGGGAAAAATGAGGAGCTGATACCACGGGCTCAAGTGGAAAGCAGGTGTTTAGAGAATGATGATGGCAACATATGTACAAATGTGCTTGAGACGGTTGATGTATGTATGGATTGTGATAAGAGTTGTATGAGCCCCTAATAAAATGATTTTAAAAATAAATAAATCATGTTTTTATAAAAGCTAAAAAAAAAAAAGGAATCAACACTTTACACAAATATTACTGGCATATTTAACATGTGCTTACTGATACAGATTTAGTAAAGACACCTTGCAGGTATTTGACAAGAAAAAAAAAATTACAAAAGGGGTGCTATTGTATTCTTCAATTAATCTGCAATTTAGTAAAATACAACCATATATAGACACAATACAGGGAAGTAACCTCAGAAGTGAAAAGTGACAGGTATATAAAAAGTAAAAATATCAAATGTTCTGCAATTGTGAAAAAGGAAAAAGTTTAGCAGTCACTTACAAAGTGAAAGACGGCGAAACACAAATGAGTGAGAGTGAACCATTGTCAAAACAAGAAATCACCTCATAAAGAATGCACTATAAAAATAATTTCCTAAAAAGGGGAGGAATACAGAAGAATGCAAAATAGTTTTAAATAGCAGATATATGTGCCTGGGTTTCAAAGAATCATGGGAACGTTCATTATTTTTCTATTCCATTTTACATTGATTTTTAAAACCCGCTTTTATAATGTTAGCCTTGAAACCTAATTATCAAAAACGTAGACACAAATTGTTACAAAATCTGAAAATGATTCTTACCGGCAAAAACTGGTCTGTCCGAAACTCAAAATCATCAACAGGTGAAAGGCAGTTAAGGAATCCTGCACACAGGAGAGAGGGAAGATGGCTACCATTGAGCAAGCCCAGGAAGACCTCCCAGCAACTACCAACACTTCCTGGCAAGAATTTCATCCTAAAGATAAGTAGACCCAAAGGTTTTTTTTTTTTTAAGTGGGGGAGCCACAACACCAGCTGACACACTCCCCTATACCACTGACCAGCAGCAGCACGAGCTACTTCTAAGCACCCGAGTCTTCCCTGGCCAGTCAACCAGCAAAACCTCTTACTTAGCTGGACTCAGAGATAGCGATCAGTGGGCAGCTGGGTACAGACATACTCAGTACCAAGCTTAACTTTAGGCCTTTTGTCCCCCTTTCTTCCTCCTTTCTTGCTTTGCTCTCAGGTGGCCTCCCTACCACCCAGCTTGCCCCATCTCCCCCACGCAGCACTAATGTACACAAAATAACACTACCTAAAAGCAGGACTCCTCACCCACAAGGCGGCTTATTGTTTACTTTTTATTATTTTATTCTGTTCTTATTGTTGTTCACTTTGTGATTTTTGGTACGTTTTTCTGCATATGAAATCCAGGATAGGTAAATCTATAGACAGTAACTGGATTAATGGTTCCTTTGGATTATGGCAAGGGAGGATGAGTGAAAATGGTGATCAATTAAAATGAGAACAAGAAAGAGGAAAATGTTCTAAAATTGATTGTGGTGATGATTGTACAATTCTTCCTAATATGATTGAGCTATTGTATGATTTGTGAATTATGTAACAATAAAACTGAAAAATGTTTAAAAAGGAATACTGAGGACTAATATATGAGATCTAGAAGAATAAAGCATTCATAAAACACATTTATCTAATACACAAATCAAAAATGATTTTTAACTATCTCAAATTAATTTCACATAATTCAGCATTGTAACAAAACTCTTTGTGATAAAGTATTTTCCCACTAATTAAAGGATATTTAACTTCAGAGTTGTAGCTGTTTCAATACGAACCTAAAGGAAAGTATATTAATTTTTAATCATTCTAGAATGACTAGACAAATATCATTAATAGCAAAAGCAAAAACACTATATTCAATCAGTTTTTTTTATTCCTTTTCATATTATCACATATCATGTTGTTTAACAACTACAAATATACAATACTCCCAACTCTTCTGCAACAGGGCTAAAAAGAGTACATAAAGTAGTATCTAGGTTCATTCACCTTTTCGTGTTTCACAGAATTTGCTTAAGAAGCCCAGACGTAGTGGTGCTTCAGGAAGAAAAATGAATGTCTCGTAGGTGTGAACGGGTGAAAGGAGAGAGAACAGCATGAAGCTGATGTCAGAGCGAGAGGAAAAGTCAGAGACAGGGAAGCAGAGGGGTTTGGGGAAGCTGGAAGATGCATTAAGTGAGATTAGAATGGAAGAGAGAAAGAGAGAAACGGGGCATTCATTCTTAACTATTACCTCAATTACAGTAAATACTTGAAATATTCAAAAGATATGTCCTGAGATATTCTAATTCCTCAAGTTCCTATATATAGACAGGTACATACAGAAATATCATACAGGTTTTCAAAAAGTCTTGGCCCATTCAAAGCATATTTTTTTCTACAAGTCAGCAAGTTACCTGTGTAAATTGTATCATCACAGCCTTATCTTATCTCCTTATCGTCTTTCAAGTTTTACTCCTGATTCACCATTTAGGCACTGGCTAACACACTGTCAGTTTGTACAATAAGTGACATCAACTCAAGCCACAGCTAGCTTCTACTCAAGTCTTTAAAATAAACATAAAGGTTTATATCCTGCTCAGGAGTAATGACTTTCTTAGGTGCTACTCTTCCTACATTTGTAACAGAGATAGAGATTCTCTTTGCAACTATTTTCCACAAAGCAGCAAGGTTTTCTTCATTTCACAGGCACTTTTGAGGTCCTCGATGCAGATTTAATACACTCGCCAAATGTTAAACTCTATTGACAAAGCCATACAAATAACTATAGAGGAGACAGGCTAGCAATGTTCTCAAGAAAAGTGTAAATCATTTCTGAAGTTCAAATGTAACACAAGATATGTTTTCAATAATAAAGTCTTATGAGATTTAGGCAACATACCACTAAATCTTGATCTTGAAGTAAGTTACAAATTGCTTCATATAGCAGTGGTCTTAAGTCAGACTTGAATTTCACAGAAATCCACTGACCAATAAGCCAGATCACCCTGCGTCGCAACGGCTTATACCTAAGTAAAGAAAAATCATGAAACTTAGAAAGGTTAAATATCTTAAAAATTACATTTCACTTCATGTGTTGAATCATTTTAAATCTAAATGTTATTAGGAAATGCAATATGCATTTTTATATAAAAATTCAAAAGCTATCAAAAAATTTAGAATACAAAATATGAACCAGAAATTTCAAACTTAAATAAATGAAAATTCTTGGCATATACATTGCAGCCTGATTCCTTGCCTTATAGAAATGTAACATACTCATGTACATAAACACACACAACCATTTCTGTGCCTCAAAAAGAATCAAAATTAGATAGCCAGAGAGTGCATTTGTAGCGAATACCACAAACCCTAAGGCTGTAGCGGTTCTCAACCTATGGGTCGTGACCCCTTTGGGGGACAAATGACCCTTTCACAGGGGGTCACCCGATTCATAACAGTAGCAAAATTATAGTTATGAAGTAGCAACGAACATAATTTTATGGTTGGGGGGTCACCACAACATAGGGAACTTTATTGAAGGGTCGTAGCATTAGGAAGGTTGAGAACCACTGCTGTAGAAGCTATAAAAATCATGATAAAAGAGCTCTAGTATGTAATGGTCCAATTTCAATTCTGTAATTTCCATACAGATTATTTTCAGAACAGTATGTGAAACCACTAAGCATATATAAAACATTGATATAAACTTAACATTGATTTCAGCTATACTCTCTGTCATCCTATAGGCTTTAATCAGTATAGAATATGACTAAAGATTATCAAGCATAATGATTTATATTAAAAAGTTGTTTCCCCTGTCACAAAATTCGCAGATACACACAAACACATTTAACTATGGTCAATATCGCTAAGCCTCCTTTACCATGAGACCAGAGGAGTTACCATTACTGAACACTTTAGTCAAATATTCTAAAGAACAATCCTGATCAACCGGGGGGGGAATAGAATTCAGAATTTGAAATTCTCATAACAGCTCTAGTCTTTATAAAGCAATAGATGCTGGATGAACCCCTGAAATTACTGACCTGAGATAATCTTTAAAACTTAAAAGTAATCCTCTGAACCAAATAATTGTTTAGCTTAACTAGTGAAGAGTGTCTGCCTTGAGTACTGTGCACTTCTGAAAATTAACTGTAGGGACTAAAGTTGAGGGCAGCAACTTCTAAGCCTGGTTGGGCAGGTTGGATTAAGTGAGTTTCTATTAATGGGACAAAGAGATAAGGTTGGTGAGAATGATTGCGGAATTCAAAGTATGTAACAAATGTCACTAAATTGAACATACAGAAATTGTTGAGTTGGTGTAGGTTTTGCTGTATCTCTATAACATCAAAATAAATTACAAGAGTTCCCAACCCTAGAATACCCTCTTGATATTACATGAATCCAAATGGCAATATGGTGTCTATTTATACTCTGGATGTAACTGCAACAAGATAATATATATTGTTTTTAAAAAACTATAATCTTAAAAGACTGCTGAGAACTACAAAGTATTATTAAAATTGTAAAAATATATTTGTTATTGTTAGGTACCATCAAGTCAGCTAAAAAATTTACGATTTTTCTGAATGAAATTAAATTCAAGTTCCCAGTAGCAAAGTTGATTCAGAACAAAATCAATTAAGTGAAGGGTCCTTAAGAAAAGGAAAAATCAAAACATAGCAATTATATGTTGTTGTAGTTGTTGTCAGGTGTCGCTGAATCAGCTCTGACCTAGAGCGACTCTGTGCACAGCAGAGCGAAGGACTGCCGACCCTGAACCATCCTCACTGATACACACACTGTGTTAATCGTCTCTTTGAGGGCTTCCTCTTTTTGGCCACCTTTCTACTTTACCAAACTGGATGTCCTTTTCCAGGAACAGGTCTCTCCTGATATTATGTCCAAAGTATTTAAGACCAAGCCTGGACACTCTTGCCTCTAAGGAGCTCTCTGACCTTCTTTCAATACAGATCTGTTTGTGCTTTCAGCGGTACATGGTACTTTCAATATTATTCTCCAGCACCACAATTCAAATGCATCAATTCTTCAATGTTCTTCCATATTCAATGTTCAACTTTCACAGGCATATGATGCAATGGAGAATACCATGGCTTGAGTCAGGAGCACCGTATTTCTCAAAGTAACATCCTGTTCCTTTACTCCTCGAAAGGGTCTTGTACAGATTTACCTAATGATATACAAGGGGTTACAAAACAAAAACCCCACTGGAATCTCTCCTCCGCCCCCTCCCCCCAGCTAAATCTTTTTACAAAAAACAAAAAAAAACAAAACCTTATTCACTTTCAAAGTACTCTCCATTACACTAAATACATTTGTCAAATTGCGATTCCTCTTGAAAACCTTTTTCAAACTCATTTCGTTTGGATGGCTCGTTTTTATTTCTTCACCTCTTCTACGTAATCAAATCACTGTCCTTTCATGTCCCTCTTCAGTCGCAGAAGCAAAAAGCAATTGCAAGGGGAAAAGTCAGGTGAGTAAGGTGGTGGGGCAAGAGAGGCAGGCAGTTTTTTGCCAAAAAAACGAGCACACTGCATGAGCAGGTGCACTGGCATGGTGGCAAAACCAATCCCCATCTGCCACAAAGTGGGTCTTTTTATCGCACTGTTAATGCTATCTTTTCAAAACCTCTAAACAGAAAGCTTGATTAACAGTCTGATCTGGTGGAACAAACTCAAATACACAATGAGTCTACATTTTCATCCATTCAGGAAGTTGACAGACATCCTGATCAAGGTTTGTCATCAATCGACATTACACTTTTTTTGAAACGAGAAATCCACTCATACACATGAGTTTTCCACATAACACTATCCTTGCAAGCTGTGTTCAACAACACAACAGTTTCTGCGGCTTTTTTCCCAAGCAGGGAATAAAATTTCACAGGCACACGCTGTTCTTACATTAGCCATCACAAAAAAATTGATGCTCCAGCAAAACTGTTTTTGCAGGAAAATTCTCTGTGACCAGAGAGAACCACCGCAGGGCACTTACTCAGAGGAAGTTGCTAAATGCTGGCGTAGCTGGAAAAATGCATACTAGGAAAGCTCCGCTCCACCCAGTGCAATTCTGGGTTTTGGGGGTTGGCGGGGGTGGGGGTGGGGTGGGATGCCCCCTCGTGCATCTTATAATCTCTTGACTGCTGCTTCCATGAACATTAATTGTGGCTCCAAGTAACACAAATTCCTCGACAGCGTCACCCTTTTCTCCGTTGATCGTGATGTTAAGTTAGCAGTCCAATTGTGAGGCTAACTGGTCTTCCTTACATTGAGTGGAGTCCCACTGAAGGCTATAATCTCTGAGCCACATCACAAAGTTCTTGACAGCCTTCTCACTTTCAGCAAGCAAGATTGTGCCGTCTGTGCACTGCAAGTTGTTAATAAGCCTTCTTTCAATCCCGATGCCCCACTCTCCTTCATGTAATCATTTCTCTGATCTGCTCAGCATACAGACTGAAGAAGTATGGTGAGAGGTCACAACCCTGACATACACCTTTCTTGATTTTAAACCATGCTCTACTCATATTCTCTTGTACTGTTCGCACCACTGCTTTTTGTTTCATGTATAAGTTTCACATGAACACAAGGAAGTGTTCCGGAATTCCCATTTTTCTTAAGGTTATCCACAGTTCATTATGATCCACACAGTCAAATGCCTTTGAGCCAACATCCATCTGACATCAGCAAGGATAATCCTTGTTCCACATCCTCTTCTGAATCCAGACTGAACTTAAGGCAGTTACTGGTTGATGTACTGTTGTAACTGTCGTTGAATGGATGATCTTATGCAAAATTTTACTTGTGTGCGCTACCAATGATATCATTCTACAGTTTGAGCACTCTGTTGGGTCACCTTTGGAATGGGCACAAACAAGAATCTCTTCCAAATTTACTGGCATTGATGAGTGAGTGCTTCTACAGCTTGCTGAAACATTTCAGTTGGTATTCCATCAATTCTTTTTTTTAAACATTTTAAAAAACGTTTATTATGTTCAGGTTTACATTTTCCTATAAATTCTTAGAGCCTTCTTTTTAGCTGCTGCACTCAGTGCAATTTGAACTTCCTTCAGCACTATTGGTTCTTGCTCACATGCTCCCTCCTGAAATGGTGTTATGTCAACTAGCTCTTTTTGGTACAGTGATTCTGTGTATGGTTTCTATCTTTTTTTGAATGCTTCCTGTATCTTTCAATATTTTGCCTATAAAATCTTTCAAAAATGCAACTTGGGGCTTGAATTTTTCCTTGAGTCCTTTCCAGATCAGAGATGCTAAGTGCGTTCTTCCTTTTGGTTTTCTAATTCTAGGGAACTCTACGAAAATTATAAACTTAAGACTATTGAGTGCTAGAAAGAACCTATCGTTAAAATTATATATACGTAATACACAAATGTTTTCTTACTTCAAGCATTTTATATAACAAACCGAAAGAAAGCAAAGATAGACATAGACTAGGATTTCAGAAAAGAGAAAGAACGGAATGGACGGATAGAAATAGGATTTGAGCAGGCATTTTAGAAAAACACTATTGGGAAAAAAATGAAATTGAAGAAGAAAAAAAATGCCACTTCAAGGAAAGAAGTTTTTGAACAGTCACAAAAGTGTAACTAAAGCAACACTCAGAGAGAACAATGGAGGATCCACAGAAGCTTAAACTGTTGGCTTGAGTCCTTTGAGATGGTCACATTGAACTCTCTAATACAGAGGCCGGAGATCAGAAAGGGTCCAAGGAAGCACTCACTTCAGGGCAGAATTAAGAACAGAGTTAAGTGATCCTCAAAATACAGTCCCGGGACCAGCTTCAGGAATAATTCTTTATGCAGACCTGATAAATCAGAGCCTGCATTTTAACAAGATCCCCAGCTTCATATACACACTAGGTTTCAGGGGGGAAAGGCCTACATCAGCTCTGTCAACAGAAACATAATGCAAGTCAAAATTTTTAGTAGCCTAAGCTGAAAGAGAAACAAATTCTTTTATTATTTATTCATATTAGAGAAGGGCTCCAAAAAGTTCAAGGAAAATATAATTAAATGACAATGGAATTTTCACATCAGCTATTCAATTAATATGGCCTTTCCAGTCATAATCCCTAGTGACATGTTATAATTCTGGGTTTCATACATTTATGAGCATAGTCCCATTTTGGAGCTCATTATCTGCTGACAAATAGGAATAGGATGAGATTAAAACCTGCCATCAGTAGAGGGTGTGCACAGTGTGAAACACACTCTTCAATAGGATCCTGGTTAGTATAACTTGGAATAGATGTACACAATACTATGAAAAAGATGAGAGGAGAACGAAAAAGCCAATGCCTACTGGAAACATCCTGCCAGAGGCCCAAGTCCAAAGTGCAGACAGAAGATACAGGCCAGAGCTGGAGAATAAATTATTGCGTTTGGGTGAAATATGATTGCACCATGTAACTCCCACCTAACAACGTGTCCTTGCATGGGTCTACTAAAAAGGCGGAGGAAGATACTGACAGGATTTGTCTGAGTCATTTGGACTAGGATTTCCTGCAGTACCATTCTGCTGCATATACACTGAGCCCACTGAGAAGCAGCTGGTGAGATTTAATCTCCACCACGACCCAAAAGCAGTGTGTCCTCTGGTCCCAGCATCTGGCTTACCCCTGCCTGACCTTCGGATTTTGCACTGAACAGCACTTACCATCACGTGAGTCATTTCCTCAACTGTTCCCGAGTTTCGTGGGACAAAGCAGTGATTTTCAGAAACCAGAAACATGACGATTTGAATACATTCAAAGAACGGGGTGGAAGGTGATGGTAGCAGACTAGTACCTTGCAAGTGTTTGGACTTTTTAAAACTTTTTCGATCTCCAAATATTTGGGACTTGACACGACTCATTGCCATCAAAATGATTCTGATTCACAGTGACCCTGTACAAGGGAGCAGCACTGCCCCTGAGGGTTTCCAAGACTAAATTTACAATACTAAGGCCAAAATAAGAACAAGGTGAAGTCCCACTAAAGACCACATGACTGGTGCTATTTACTATTTACTATTGAATCAGGCACTTTAATAAAGAGCTCAAAATGCTTTTCTGAGTGTCCGAAATGCTTTTTCCACTGCTTCTTTATTTCCCATTTGAGATAGTTTATTGTGCCAGCCTGACCAATAAACAAAAGTGGGATTAACTGAAGAGCAGAGAGATATATGGCTTGGTGAGTCTCGCCTTTGTCTCTCGCTCTGTGATCATTGGACCAGTGTGTGGCTGCCTTGCTTGTCCTGTGCCTCAATTTAAAGGCTATACTACCTGTGGGACGCCTAGCCTGTGGACTGTGCCGCTGTAAGTTGAGGTCCCTTTAAGACATCTCTGGAGCTGGGGACTGGCGGTTGGTGACCTGGCTGGCAGTTGGTGACCTGCCTTCTGATTGGCTGCTGTGCCCACATAGCCTAGCTCTCTCTATGAATAGAGGAAGAACTGGCAGCAGACTAGACTTGTAAAGGACTGATAGTCTCTCACAACTGTCTCACGGGAGTGAGTTGAATTGAGCCATTTGCAGTGTTTTATAATTTAATTGTTTCTTTCTTGTATTATATATTTATCTGTATATGATTTAACAGCTCATTACTTGTTAGATATCTAATTATCTTTATAAAAAATATATTAAATTATCAGCAATTTGGTTTTATCTCTCTAGAGAACCCTGTCTAACACACCATTCTACTCTCTCCCCCCCCCACACTATATATACTTTTGTAGAAGCAGAGTTTTTCAGTACATTTTTAATGAAGTCTTTGTGGTAAAATCAGGTGCCTCGTCTGATATTCAGGTCAGCTTATACTCGAGTATATACAGTACTTGCATTATGCTCCCAAAGAAGTCACCTTTTGTAGGTGTTATTTTAGTTCGGCTAATTCTGACATCAGGTCCAGACCACCAATGATTTTCTTTAGTGTGCATGTTGTCTTCCTGGGTCCCAGCGACCTCTATTGGTCCGTTCCAAACAGTCCTACTTCTTTTCTCCTGCTACCTTATATCGAAACAAACGCATCCTAGGTACCACAATTCTTATGTGAAGTAAAACTGTAAAACAACAATGTATTTGGCTTACTTTTCAGTTATAAACTTCACGTCCAATTCGTTCTACCCTAGCTACTACCTGCAAGTCAAACACTGACTTTTTAAACTGTAAACAATTTTAATTCTTATCGTACTTAGAAAATAAAGGTAAAATGAGTAATAAAACAAACTTTATATACTTGCCTATTATGAATTACTTGTAATTCTGGAAGAAGTTGGTTTTTAAACCACTGATCAAAATCAACACTGTCAAACAGCTCATAAGCAGCTAATCCCATAGCATTATACACTGAGGAGAAAAGTCAAAAGAAAAAAAAATGTTAGATACTGGGCTTTTATTCAATTATGATAGTTTATGAATACAAAGTGCAAAAACGTAAAGCACTAGGGACAATTTTGAAATATTTAATTTATAAGTAGAGGCAAATATGCAATGTGTTAATCCAGGAAATTATTTAAGTAAATATTTTAAGAACAGCATCTAAGCAAATTCACTTTCCCCCCCTAGACCAGTGGTTTTCAACCTTCCTATTGCCACAACCCTTTAATACAGTTCCTCGCGTTATGGTGATCCCCCAACCATAAAATTATTTTCGCTGCCACTTCATAGCTGTACTTTTGCTACTATTATGAATCGGGGAAACCCTGTGAAAGGGTCGTTCGTTGGACACCACCCACAACGGGGTGGCGACCCACAGGTTGAAAACCGCTACCCTAGACACTCCTTAGTGCATTCAGATAAAATAAAATTCTTTTCAAAATATTTAACTCCAATTATACATTAATTTGTTTCCAAATGGATATATTACATGATCTGGTCTCTGCTTCTCTCTCCAGCTTCATCTCTCCATCACTCACAATCCGCTAACCTGTGTTTCAGTCAAACCAAAGTACTCATGGTTCAAAATTTAAGTTTACTTTCTTTTATCAAGTTGTTGCACACACAACTTGTACCTGGAACTCGCATCCCATGGCCTCCCATATGCAGAGGCAACTTTTATGTTTCCTGTGTTCTTATATTAGATCTCTCAAAGAGCCTTCATCCTCAGCACCCAAAATTATATCTTTTTTTTCCCACAGCACTACCAGATTACTACCTATTTTAGGATTAGTCATCCTGTTCTATGCAGTCTGTTTACTAAGTTATCTTCCCTACCACTTTCCTTATTTACCCCAAATTTATATATCAACTTTCTAAGCACAAAAACTGGCACAAAACAAGATGCTAAATGCACTGAAGAAATTAATTATTTCTAAATTACTGAAGTTTACCATACCAGCATCTTTGATTAACAATGCATTCATATCTTCCACATTGGTCGGCCCTGAAAAAACAAACATTTGTAAAGGTAAACAAGCTTGCTTTGCTTTGTTGTTGTAGTGTTAATTTTTAAAAATACATTTTAAGTTATGTTGATTAGTTTTACAATCATATAAAATATATTGGGAAAGTATCATAATAATTTTCTCACCTACAGTCTAGTTAGCACTCTTTCCTCTTCCAACCCCTAGACCTTTCTTGAGGTGCTCAGTGGATAGCAAAGCAGTCCAGGCACTGACCTTCAGAATTCTCTGTAATCTTTTCATTCATTTCTTGTTGATCTATCACAATGCTCTCAAAAGCTATCTCAGGCATATTTAATCCGCTGAACCCACTAATTTTCAGAAAACGGCACTGTCCCTTACTCTAGTGAGAAGCCATCCAAGTGGCCGAAATACTCCTATCCTCTTTTTTCTTTCTTTGCCCTATTCCCTATATAAAAATATTCAGCCTAAGGGAACCAGTGGAAAGGCCTGAGGGGCAGGGCCCAATCCCAATTACCTGGACAACTGCCCCTCCCCTCACAAGAATTTATTTCAGAGGACAGCATTGAAGCTGCAGCTCTGGGAGAAGGACATGTCTCATCAGAGCACACGGGAGCAAATGAAGGGGGAGGAAGAGAGAGTGGAGCACATCCTGGCCCACCAAGCCTTGAGAACAATATTCCCGCTCAGAGCATCCAATCCACAGAGATGACAATATGGCCAGTCCCACTATGAGACACCACGACACATCCCTCAATGACCCATAACCATACAGGGGACAACACTGGAGACACAGTGTGGGAATTGCGCGCAACCTGATCCCACCACACTGAGGCAAAACACTAAGGACTTGAAACAGAACAGCAAGGGGAACAGAGCAACAAAGTCCGGAGGGAATACCAAAAATAGACTTTGGGGTCGGGGATTGGCGATCCAACAGAAGCAACTAGAAAACACACCTAAAAGCCAACAAACAGTCCTTGAACTATCTGCAAGCTTTTCTTTCTTGTTGTTGTGTTTTGGTTTTCTGTCATTGGCTTTTTGGTGTTGTTTTGTTTTACTTTGTTACTTTGTTTTGCTGTCTTGTTTTGTGCATGTTATTATCTCTGCCGGTCTGTCTATATAAAATAGGCTGGATGAACAATCTGGAGAAGAAAACAACGGGACTGACAGTTCTGGGGGGACATGGGAGAGGGGAAGATGGGGGGAAAGGTAGTAGTGGTAACAAACCCAGGGACAAAGGAACAACAAGTGATCCAAATCGGTGGTGAGGAGGGTGTGGGAGGCCTGGTAGGGCGTAACCAAGGGTAATGTAACCGAGAGAAATAACTGTAACCCAAATAAGGCTGAGCATGACAGTGGGACAAGAGGAAAGTAAAAGGAAATAGAGGAAAGAGCTAGGAGGTAACGGGCATTTACAGAGGTCTAAATAAAGGCATGTACAAATGTAAATATATCTATGAGGATGTAGAAATAGATCTATTTGCATATATTTATAGGTTTCGTACTAAGGTAGCAGATGGACATTGGGCCTCCACTCAAGTACTCCCTCAGTACAAAAATACTTGGTTCTATTAAACTGGCATTCCATGAGTCTCACCTTCCTGACACAATCGCTGAAGACAAAGCGGGTGCACAAGCAAATGTGGTGAAGAAAGCTGATGGTGCCCGGCTATCAAAAGATATAGCGTCTGGGTTCTTAAAGGCTTGAAGGTAAACAAGCAGCCATCTAGCTCAGAAGCAACAAAGCCCCACGGAAGAAGCACACCAGCCTGTGTGATCACGAAGTGTTGAAAGGGATGAGGTATCAGGAATCATCAGAACAAAACATGTTATCATTGTGAATGAGGGGGATTGTGAGGTGGAGACACAAAGCCCATTAGTAGGCAACTGTACATCCCCTTATGGGAAGGGTACCGGGGAGGAGATGAGCCAGTCAGGATGCAGAGTAGCAATGGTAAAATATACAACTTTCCTCTAGTTCCTAAATGCTTCCTCCCCACACACTGTCATGATCCCAATTCTACCTTACAAATCTGCCTAGACCAGAGGATGTACACTGGTACAGATAGGAACTGGAAACAGAGAATCCAGGGGGGATGATCCCTTCAGGACAGTGGTGAGAGTGGTAACACCAGGAAGGTGGAGGGACAGTGGGTTAGAGAGGGGGAACCAATTACAAGGATCTACATATAACCTCCTCTCTGGGGGAAGGACAACAGAAAAGTGGGTCAAGGGAGATGTCATACAGTGCAAGATATGACAAAATAATAATTTATAAATTATCAAGGATTCATAAGGGAAGGGGAAAAAATGAGGAGCTGATGCCAAGGGCTTAGGTGGGGAGCAAATGTTTGAGAATGATGAGGGCAATGAATGTACAAATGTGCTTTACACAATTGAGGTATGTATGGATTGTGATAAGAGTTGTTTGAGCCCCTAATAAAATGATTTTTTTTTAATTCAGTCTTATCCTTCACTTTGTACGAAGTAGTAATCCCCACACTACATGGGAACTAGCCAGTCCCTACTGTGCTGCCCTCCACTTAGAAAATGCTCTATTCTTTTATCAGTTCTAATCTATCTGCAGGGCTTACTTCGTAAACTCTCTCTTCTGTCCTGTCAGTTCTTCTATTTCTTCATCCTCTTACTACTACCAACAGAGCAGGACTCTCCGCTGCCTGTCATTTCCATTTCACCACATACTCAAAGTCTGGTGCCTTACCATGTGATTCTAAACAACTCACTAATTTATTCTCTATTCTCTCAGGCCATTGGCTGTGTTCTTCTGACAGCACTTACTACTTTGAACAACATGCTCTTCTCCAGGATGCACCCTCATACTGCTCTTTGTATGCCCGAGATCCCTTTTTAAATTGGGGAGGGAGGGGGTGCTTAACAGACTTTTCCTTTCCACATATCACTATAGTTAAAATTCTCAGGTTCTCTCCTCAAACATTTTTTACTACCAAGACTCCTTATAGATTTGTCCTACATTACATCTGTATCTCCAACTTTAAAATGAATTGTCAATTGTTTGTCAATTATCAAGAAAATTCTTTTAAAACTAAGTCAAATAATAAATTAATGTTGTTTCCAAATGAATATGCTATGATAAGACCTGGTCCCTCGTTCTCCCTCCAGCTATATAACTGGAGAGCTCAGGATCATCTTTCATCATCCTCCCTTAGACAACAAATTCAACCAGCTGTCAAAGTCAAGCAATCGAGTATTTATTGAGTAAACATACAGTGAACACGATAGATACAATCACTGTCTCCTGAAACTTAAATTCTAGCTCAAAAGGCATAATCATAAATCACTGTTAATGATTTGTGTAACGAGCGTGATCAACTGCTGTAACTCTCACTGTAGCATTCTCACTAACCTGCATCATCTTCCTTCCACTCCATGCCACCATACTACACTAACATTTATTTAGAATTTTAATCTCTGCGCTCACTACTTTCCAGAACATGCAAAAGATTATTTCCCTAAGCAATAGACAATACTGCTGCCTGCCTGCCTTTTTTTTTTTTGCTATTATGTTTACGATACAAAAACCTAACTTTCAAAACTGCAAGTCAAGGCCTATCTCCAATTTGGCACTTTCAAGAAGACAAAGGAAATAACACACTGCCCACGGCAGGCGCTCAAATCATCTTAAATGAGCATTAATTAAGTGGATAAACTAAATTTGTCACAAAATAAACCTCACCTTGAAGTGTCTGCATCATTTCTAGAAGTACAGGAGTAAGAGTTTGATTATATTCATGGAATATATCTATAAACAGTACTTCAGTGCAAGGCTGGAGAGGGAAAAAAGACAATTTCCTAATAAAAATAAAGGTATGTTGTACTGAATAATTCCACAATGAAACAAAGGAGGTTCATTCTTGACATTTTAAACCTTTGAACATGTTTCAATTCTTAATTTGTTTTTTTTTTTAATAGAACTGCTTTCTGTAAAGGTTACTGTGGGGGAAAAAGACAATAATAATCAAATTCATATCATAAACGAAGTTTATTTTACTACTTCAATCATTTGGCACAATTTAAACTACATTAGGCAAATAGTTTATATTTTTAATTAAGCATACTATAAAGTAAAGCATTCTGGAATCACATTCATTTATTGTATATATGAGTGACCACAACTAATATGCTAACAATTACATATTAATAACAATATAAGCAATAATAGCAACTCATAAATTTACCACATGAATCCTTCATGCAGTAAATTACAGGCACAAGTTAATTCTGTAGTATTCATAGAAAAACACATTAATTTCTTTTGTTTTTTAAGGTTCTGAATAACTAGGTATTTCTTAATATAAAGAAACTATCATTAAAATTGAAAGGCATTGTACATTACCCTTGAAATCAATCTTTGAAATACGTAGAATTTAAATGTATATCAAAATAACCCAAATTTGCAGGTATTGTAGTTATATAAAATAGATTATAAATTAGGAGTTAATAAACAAAGTACTAGGCTTCAGATAGAGAAGGGTTCATATTATTCCAATTTTTAATGTAGCAATTTTTCCAATGTAAAGTACTAATTATTTATGTGATTTAGAACTAGCTTTCTATGCAAGCTTATAAACCTAAAAACAGTTCACATAGTTGTTAAAAAACAGTAACTAAATAGCTAATCTAGGACAGTGGTAGCACAGTGGTTAAGAGTTTGGCTGCTAACCAAAAAGCCAGCAATTTGAAATCACTTATGGCTTTATGGGAGAAAACTGTTACAATCCGTTTCCATAAATATTTAAGCCCAAACAAACCCTTATATATACTTTGTATGTATACTTTGTGTACGCGCGCGAGCGTACATGCTTTGTCTTATAGAGTCACTACGCGTCAAACACATTGCTGGACACTATAAGGGCACACAACATAAATGTCAGTCTTAGCAAAAAGAATAACCCAAATATCGCAAGTGATAAATCTCAAAGGCAAATCACCTTCTGTATTCTTTTAGAGAGTTGCAGTGTTGCGACCTGGTGGTGCAGTAGTTAAGTACTCAGCTGCTAACCAACAGGTGGGCAGTTTAAGCTCACCAGCAACTCTATATGAGAAAGAGTGGCAGTCCTATAAATCCTTAAGGATGTACAGCCAGTCCATCACAAGGATCGATATATAACCTACTCCCTGGAGGGCGGACAACAGAAAAGTGGGTGAAGGGAGACATCGGACTGTGTAAGATATGACAGAATAATAATTTATAAATTATCAAGGGTTTGTGAGGGAAAGGGGATGGGGGGGGGAGGGAAACGAGGAGCTGATACCAAGGGCTCAAGTAGAAAGCAAATGTTTTGAGAACGATGAGGGCAACAAATGTACAAATGTGCTTGACATACAATGGATGGATGGATGGATTGTGATAAGAGTTGTACGCGCCCCAATAAAATGATTTTTAAAAAGAGGATGTACAGCCTTGTAAAACCTATGGGTCAGTTCTACTATGACCTATAAGGTCACCATGAGTCAGAAGTAACAACAACAGCAGGTTTGGTTTTCATAGCTGAAAGTAAAACGATGGCCTGTTCCTTAAAATCACACGAGGTAATACATGAAATGCCTACAAATTCTTCAAATATTTAAACCATATGATCTACATAGTCTACAAATAGAATAACCATGTGATCTACTAATTCTTCTCCTAGATACTCAATAATTTGAAAGGAGAAATGCAGATTGAACATTAATGTTTACTACAAAATCAACCAGCCAAAAAGTGGAAATAACCCACGTGTCCATGAATAAATGAACCAACAAAGTGGCATACAGACACCGTGCCATAAAGAAAAATGACGTTCTGGCACTTACTATAATGTGGCTGAAGCTTGAACACACTAGGCGGCTCAGTGACATCAGTCAGACACAAAAGGACACATAACAGACCCCACTTACATGGAATATCCAGAATAGGCAAAGACATATAGACACTGCTTAAGGAGCAGTGCATTTTTACTAAGGGTGGTAGAAAATGTGGTAACGGTTATATGCGATAATGATCCTAAATTTTAAACATAAACATGGCTAAAGTGGCAAATGTTGTGTTACACGTGTACTTAAGGCAGTGAAAAAGTAAAAAAGAATGCTTAAGAGAAATCTTTAATTTCTGAACTACTTGGGAGGCTATCATTCCAGTCAGAATTCTGCAGCTTTGACTTCCTGGAGCATTGTCATCTAGTCAAATCCAAGGCTGTAAATCTTTCGGGAAACAGACTGCCACATCTTTCTCCCAAGGAGAAGCTGTGGGTTCAAATGGACTTTTTTCAATTAGCGGCAAGTGCTTAACCTAAATTGCTTAACCAGGGCTCCGCACAGCAATGGCACACTGGCCACTGCTTACCAATCAATCTGACTACAAATTGAAGAAAAACTCACTCTGCAAAACAAAAGTTAACTACAAGAAAAATTCAGTTTAAAACTCAGAATTTAAATACACTCCTCTCAAGTATAGTTTCTTGCAAATAGTTTTCTCTCTCTGAAATGCTTGGAATCTTCAATGGAATGCCATTCTTCACCAAGAGCTATGGAATGCTAAAGTTTTCCCCAATCCATTTTTCATTCAATGTAATACTTACCCTCAAACTATATTTCCAAGAATCTCCTCCAGTTTCTTCCACTGCTGCAATTAAAAATATGGAAAATGATGTTCCTCAGAAACGCAATAATGATTATTTTCAAAATCTTAGTTTGAGAAACAAAGGCTTGAGGGTATATTAGGACAATATATGTGAAAATTGTTCTAAACATAGCACTGGAAGTGAATTCATGGAACACAAGGGGTTAAAAGTATTTCTTCATTATATTACATATAACCACAGTCTAGCTCATAGAGTGCTGACGTTCATAAGGGTTCTCATGTTCACTAAAAATTCTTGATGGTGGAATGCTTAAAGTATTTTGTCATTTCCAAAGCATCTGACATCACCTGGTATACTATCACTACACTTCCTCTTCACTTATCAACAATTGTTTAATTCCAAAGACCAGGTCCTTATGCGACAATCAACGTTATGCAAAACGGAAGGACAATCGTATCATATTATAAAATGAACTAAAACTTCATCGTTACATAGTCGCTGCTAAACAACACCACAGAGAATCACAGCACCACCCACTTGACACCTTACCATTTGTTACAGCACAACATACATTAATACACAAAATGGTACTGAATAGTTTATTAATGTCGTGAGTGTCAGATGCTGGGTGAGATAAGTGGGGAGTAGGCATATATATAATACTGAGAATCACTACATTTTCATTACAATAATAATGTTTCAAAAATTAAAATGATTAGTCACATTCTCTATAACTTGCCTATACTTATATTGAAAATACTTTAAAACTTTTTTAAAAATTAGGAACTCAATGATTTATATAGTATTATATATACATATTGCATAAAGAAAATAAGGACACCTAAGATTTTAACTAAGAAGAAACATGCACTATGGAATTAAATGGTGTATCTTCTATAAAAATTTAAATTATTTTCAAATGGCCCAAAGAGTAATATAGTGTATTCCAGAAAATCTAAGGCAATCAGAAATTAAGAAGAAAGATGTGTTCATGTTACACAAGGTCATCTGGCCAAAGGGGTGACTAGAGATATCAAGCGAAGCAATTTACATAGGAACTTTATTTGGAAAATTATTCCTTTGATTTTCTATTAACAAAATCCCAGTATATTTATTCTACCTATCCATATATTTGTCTTAAAATGCGTACTACAGTCATTAGTGCATCTAGAAAGTAAAAAGGTGTCTTTGCACAAATTTCCACATACTCAACAAGCTATTCATTTTCTGTATATTTTGTTTGGTATTTAATTTTCCTGCAGGTAACAAAGACATAGTTATAGAAAACCAAAATTGTAGGATCAAATGCGCCATATGGTTATTGTTGCATGTTATTAAATGTGTCAGTCAAATACATGATAATTGCTTATCACGTATTTTGACGGGAAAGAAAAGAAGCAGTAAAACTAAAAAATTAGTTCTTACTGAAGCCTTCCGGATCTTCGTCCCACATTGTCAGTTCTTCTTCAGTTAGCAGAAAATAATGAGAGACTAATCTCCTACATATCTCCGTCAGAGTGGGATACGTGAAAAACGCCATCTTAATCTTATGAGCTTTAAGAGTTTCGGGGCTACTATCTAGAAAAATAAAATATCAAAGTTAATTGCACAAGCAAATATTCAATCCAAGTATAACTGTGTAACTTAACTAAAATAATACATTCTGGAAGAAAAGATACACTTAACTAAAATTTTTCGAGTTTACTCTAAACACATTTCCGAGACATTCTCTTCTAGTCACATTTTACCCCTATCAGTCCTGTTCGTTGTCTTAGCACTTTATTTCTTATTACCATACTCGTTCTCACAAGGGAGCCCTGATGCCATCACTCAATCACTGCCATCGGATCAATTCTAACTCACAGCAACCCTATAGGACAGGATAGAACTGTCCCCAAGTTTCTGAGACTGTAACTCTTTACAGGAATAGAAAGCCCTTTCTCCTGCTGGATGGCCAGGGGTTTCAAAGAGCTGACCTTGCAGCCCAGTGCAAAACTACACCACCAACAGGTCAGCTCTCTGGTGGCATAACTGGAAGGTTTAAAGTTCTACAATGCCACCTGCTCCACAGGAGAGAGATGAAGCTTTCTACTCTCACAAACCGCCTCATGGAAATCAAAAGGAGCAGGGTCAGGCGCGACTTAATGGCAGTTGAGTTTGGCTTTGGCTTTCTTACGACACATTGCAGTGGTTTACTCATGTCTCTCTAAGACTGCCCCTGAAAGAGCCCCAAATAATTTAATGACTCCATCTTTTTATATACTCAGAGAAAGCACGGCTGTTCAAGTGGACGCAGCACAGACTATGAGCCGTGATTATTTTTGTACTTAATTCCAAAGTTTCTAAACATTAATCGATCTTCTCTGTGACCTCAAATAGACAATTTACTAAATTCATTGTCTGGATTTTAAAAGCTGGCATTCACATAATAGAGATTCTAGCCATTATCCCTATTTAATATTCTAGAGATGTTTTATTTTTCCCATTAAAATAATTTAATTTCAAAGTAAATAACTACATAGAACTAGCAGCTGCTGCCCACAGAGATTAAATTAATGATATGAAAAGTAAAATTATCAATAAAGCATTACCTTCAAAATTTTTTGATGGCTTATATGCATAATTTTTCACAATCATCTTAATAAGATTCATGCACTGGACAATGAATCGCTCAAATGTAACTCCTTCACCAACTTCTGTAAAAACATAGCTTACAGAAAATTCTAGTGATCTCTGAATTAGAGGAGTAAAAGAAAAGGGATGCTGGTCCAAGAAATCCAAAAGCTATAAAGAAAAGAAAGAAATGTAATTTTCTAATTTTATATAAGAATATACTCATTTCAAAAGTAAAACTTATGTTACATATAGCCTTGATAATACACATTTAACAAGTTTTGGGCCTTGATATCCAGGTTTATATGCAATACAGCATTTCTTAGGACACATCACGAGGTAAGTCAAAAAGCACTGCTACCAGGTTGGTAGTTCAGAGGCATTTCCCTCTCCACAGGAGAAGGATGAGGCGGTCTGCTTCCATAAAGATTTATAGCCTTGGGAACTCTTACAAGTTTGCTCTAAGTCAGAATCAACTCTGTGGCAATGGGTTTGAGTTGGACTTCAATAGTAGCCCAGAGGAATAAATGTGTTACTTATTTATAATTTACGAATCGACAGTTCATAAAGATCTCTGGTATAACTATGATCAGACATTTGGCTAACCAAAAGGCAGAGGTGCAAACGTGCCAACAGCTCTGCAAGAGCAGAAAGCAAAAACAACAAGAAAACCTGACAATTTGCTCTCAAAAAGATTCCAGCTAGATCATCTATGGGTCAGAGCTACTCTGTCATACAGAATCATTATGTCTTGGAATCAAATCTGTTTCACACAACAACAATGCCATTTATATGGCCATGGTAGTCAAATAATAAAAACAAATCATTTAAGAAGCATTGCTATGGGGTTCCAATACATACATGAATAGTTTATTTTAAAACAACAACAAAAACATGTTTTAGAAAGCCTTCAAAAAAAAAGGTCCAATCCATCCCTTTACAGAAGGGTCACAGGGAGGAGACAGGCCAGTCAGGGTGCTGTATAGCACTGCTGAAACATATAGCTATCCTGTAGTTCTTCAATGCTTCCTCCCCCACTATCATGACCCTAATTCTACCTTACAAATCTGGCTAGACCAGAGTATTTACACAGGTACAGATAAGAGCTGGAAACACAGGGAATCCAGGAGAGTAGCCATACCAGGATGGGAAGGGGAAGGTGGGGGAGAAAGAGGGAACCGATCACAATGATCCAC